TAAATATATACCTTATGTAAAAGAACATTCTACAACATTGACTGTGACAACAGTACAAACGACTAGAATATTAGTGATTACATAATGAGTAAACGTTGATAGAAATAAAATGAGTAGAGCTCAGTTGATAAAATAAGACTGCTGATTTGGAAGATAGTCGAAATAAAACTCAATGATGTAATGAATGCAAGAAAAAGTTTAGGATGCAATGAAGGAATGTTTGTCAACAATGCAAAGAAAGACTAATAACCATCTTCTTTTGAACAGATAAGTAGGGTTTTTGACGCCTGATAGCAATGGCTTCAGCAAACTTCAGAAGACTGGAATTTGGCTGCTTACTAATCACCTTGTAAGATTGCGAGGTACCCACCTGATGTCCTGTATCAAGATGTTTGGTAATTGCACTATTTAGTCTTTCTTTCTCTTGTTTTGAGGTTTGTTAGAACCAGTTCACGCTACTGTATGCTACCCATTCGAAACCGACAGTTTGAATCTTAATACTACAAATCTAACAATCAGTCCACATGGAGTACATTTATAATTATTTTAAGACGGCAACAGATCTAGATAAACCGTAGGAAGCCTTACAATTTATTCAATCTATTGAAACTGAGAAAAGCTGTAAAATAATAAAGACGTAACTCATGCAAGTAAAGTAAGTCGCTTATAAAACTCAAAACCTGTATCTCATATCTGATATTCAATATTTACAGTAAAACCAAGAATAGACAGATCACTGACAATAAGAACAAGGAATTGAATAAAACAAACAGTAGTATTTCATATAAAGAAGTCGGATAAACAAATCCATCTAAAACCTAGTTTTTCCCTTGTTTCAGAATAAAATGATATGGACTAGCAAGTCATCATAAATAACCTACTTTTTAACGAATGGTCAAATATAATCACACCAATTACATGTCTATTCGTTCGTATTAAATACAATAAAGAACAAGTACCACACCATATTACGTGATGATATAAGTAAAATTGAAACTTAAATACTATCCAATTAGACTTGATGACCTCATGCAAGTGATATGTGGCCAGTGGAAGTAAGTGGGATTGGCCATTAGAAGTAGACAAACAGATACTTAAATCACTATTAAATATACGATTTCCCTTATTACCATTAATTTCTACTCTGGAATTACTGAGCCTAACTACTTGTAATTGTGTTGAATATTGTCTACCGTATACTTTGGTTTTTTACGATTGGTCGTAAATCGTATGGTGTGACGTAATCCAGTCTGTGTATCGAAAATCGATCGGGTATCCAATCTAGTGGTGACGCATTGTAGTAACAATAAATGAGTCATAAAATTTTAAAAAACCATACCGCCATAATCAGACTGCGTTCGAGACCGAATCTATGGATGATAGCAATGCTACAGGTGATTGACTTCATTAAACGGCTCGTTGAACAAACAATAGTGTGATATTTTACTGCTCCATTTTTTTGTACTAACAAACTAATGTCTATTATTCCGCTGAAATTATGTACATCGTTTACAATAAAATTTTAGATAAGGCAGTTAATTTGATCATTTCAAAGAAAATACGATCAACCATTTTAAAGATGGAGTTATCCAAACAACATGGATGTAGTAATGAAACCCCACATAATGCAAAATTACTTACTAAAAAGGTTGAGTATCTCTGCAAACGAGATCATCAGTATACAAGTGACTGAGATAAAATTGACAAATTAATATTATTACTAGTTACTAAAAATGATCCTTGTAAAAGGCAAAAAGGTAGCATGACTACAACTTGAACCAGGACAGTCGAAGGAACACCAAGAGGACAAAGATCGGACGGCCAGAAAATAAAGATACTAATAATGGTAAGAAGAAGTGCACGGACCAAACACGACGATTACCTAACTTGTCTTGTACTGCCAGGAAACATAAGAAATTGACATCATACATTAATTACTTCATTTTATATATTAACAAGTCGACCAGTCTTACTAATTGCTAAAACGAAGATTCGATTGAAGTCTTAGAAAGCATACAATGGGATCACATTCATAATATTTATGCGGACACGCATAATATGTAGTTTATCGTATATATAGTGATCCCTTGATAAATTCAGATGAAGCGACAATATTTAAATCGTCGTTCTAACAGGGTTTGACAGACCAATATTTAACTCGGGTTCTAGGCGATATAACCTGGTACTATTAGTAACACCTGCTTCGGTTTGGGCGCCCGGGCAGTATCACAGCCGTCACACAAATCTAATGCGATTTGTGTGGCGCATATGTATCTGGTGCCCTCGCTGTACCAATATCTGTGTTCAAATAAATAAATAAATAATAAGAACTATTGGTAATTCTATTTCACGTTGGACGGTAGGACGTAAGTGCGTAGCCGTAAACCAGAGTTTCACACCTCTTGGTACTCACCAATGAAGTTTGATATAAACACTTAATCCAGTCGTAACTAAATTTGTATACCTGACGTATACGGATGTTCTATATATTAGGACTATATTCTCGATGTTTATCTCTCTCATTATCATTACTACTACATTATTTCAACTCCTTTACTATTTACCTAGTTAGTTTCATCTTATTACGCCGAACTGATACAACTTGGGCTAACCCAGATTTGTGTCTAGCTCTACGTTAACTATGGCTAACTGAAATATTTTTATGAGATTTGTTAAGTTATTCCTAAACAATCAAATGATTGACTGTATACCAGTCAAATGTTACATTTGAATAGGTTGTCAGAACGCCCAAATTTGAGAAGAAATGATAAACATTTGCTCTTTGAACGATAACTCACTTTGAAACACTCAACTGTAATAGCATGCACCCTCCTGTGTCTACATAATTTGACTAAATATTCCACTTAATACATGACCAAAATAGCATTTCCCTGAATGTAGATAAAGAGTCATCAATCCCAAATAATGTATATGCTTCAAAATGAATTGACACTAAGAATGTCAACCAACATATTAAATGATTATCTGTTGAACAATCTTATTAGTTCTTTTATCACTGGAATTTTTTTACACCTTTTCATGTCATCGTAACTACATTTGTGTGACATGATAGTAAATCCCAAACCAATGATCACTATAATCAATATCAAAATAATAAACCATGAATAAGCATAACTCAGGTGAAATCATTGTCTTTATACCTGATTCTCTGAAGTCTATGTATCAATCAGGAAATACTGTGACTTGTATAGTGAAAATCGCTTTCTACTGTCTTATATACAAACGGTAAGATGTAATTCCGAAAGAAATTAAATCTACTTTGATTATGTTCGCATTCGAAGTAAGTTCTTTCCCATACTTCGACCTAAGAATGCATAAATTGGCATATAAATACTAGATTAACTGTATAGAAATGTGTAGATCTGTGATAACAATAATAATAATTATTATTAATTGAATTTCAATTCATTTTACTCTCGAATATTTAGTTTACTTTAATCACCAAATCTTCAAATCAATTGCCTAACGAACAGAATTATGTAACCAGTTTACTGGTTGAAACTCAACAGAATGAATATCAGCACGAAGTCCACAAACTGCCTGTGGATTGGTATTTAAAGCACTTAGCTCCTAACTAACAGATTGCAAGTCCGAGCCCCACTCCACATACTTCGACTTCAGAAACCGTGTTAGATGGAATAGGAGTTAGAGAAAAAAAATAAGAGGTCAAACTTAAACGTAGCATCAGTTTATAAGGTTACTGTAGTTATGCTGAATCATACTGGCTGAAACAGATTACGTGGTTGAAGTCTGTACGACAACCGCGATCAGTGATTGGAGCCAATTAAAATTGACAGTGTCCCCTAATCTTTGTAAGAACTTCAAAATGTAAAGCCAACTATAGTTCATGTGATATTTATTCACGTAGAAGATGGGTTTTATGGATTGAAATGTTCCGGTTTGATAAGTAAAAGCATAAATAGTCACTATCGCGTAGAAACGGCATGTTATCACTAAAACATGCACAATGCTAAATTATTCTGACGAACATGAATCAACAAAGATAGATACCTGTTTAGTTTGTTCAAAGTAACCTATTAAATAAATCCCACTAGTGATAAAATAAGAGAGACTCTTGCACTGTACTCAACAGTTCAGTTTCCTTATGCTTAATGGCTAACAGATTATCTATTTATTTGAACACAGATATTGGTACGAAGGGGCACAGAATACATATACGCCACACAAATCACTTGATGTGTGTAAGATGTGATACTGTCCGGGTGCCCAAACCGAAGTAGGTGGTTTTCTGAGGGAGCCACACCCCGAACCTTCGACCTAAAGGTCTGATTCACAAGGCAGTAGAGCAACGTCAGATGAAATCCCATGGTAGACGGCGACCAACAATTAGTTCATACTCCATTTATTCCCTCAACATACTGGAGCTCATGTGCATCATTGGTTTCGAATCAGGGTTTTCCAACATCCCTAGGTGGATCCTCCATATCCACCAACCCTGTTAAAGTGCTGGATATTCGCTATTCATCCTCTCAATTTCGTAAACAACACCCCCATCACGAGAAGGCAGTGAGTAGGACTTCTCTGGCAGTGGCTGTATACACGTGGCCATGTGAGAGCATTTCAAGAGGGAGAGTTGACTCTTCCCACTCTCGGCCGTACCAGGGCATTTGTAAGTTTCAAAACCATTTAAAATTAGCAGTATCGAAAAATCACAGAGTTGTATCCTCATGAAGGGATTTAAAAATAACATTTAATCCTAGTAATATTATAGTAGTAGAATTAATTAAAGTAGATCATCATTTCAGTGATCCAAAGTATTTCTTCTTGATATAATTAATTGATTTTGTGGGAACCCTATTTAAGGTACATTTATCTCTTTAACAAATGATATAGAACTGATCATGTATTTCTAAATTATGTAATCATCCTAATACTCATACCTATAAATGAATAAAGATAAAAGTCATTTTTTTAAAAAAACTAATAATAACATTCAATGACTGATATTGGTAACTTACCTAAGAGAAGTAGTTTCACATCTTTTGCAGCTTGCATTCCATCTTCTTTAAGTTTTTTATCTATATTTCGACTTTGTTCAAGAGCATCACGCTCTTCTTTAGATAGTGTACAACCCATTTTATAATTAGTAGGGTATTATTTGTATAGATTTATGTAAATAATATTTAATATCCAATATAGTTTAATGTTTTAATTATTGATATAAAGTATAAAGGATAAGATAAGGATAAAATACAATTATTCCTCTCACAAAATATAATTTCAAGGAGTTTTCCAACTTCTCCTAATCTAGTTTGAATATTATTGATTGCAGAATGAAACCAAGTTGTTGTATGTTCCCCCCTAATTGATGATAGACACTAACGTTAACAAATCAAATCTAGGCTTACTCACAAAATATTACTACTTATGGGAGAATGGTGTTGTTACTACTTAAACAAGACACACAAGACCCAATCTTAATGTAACAAATGTAGATTATATACATTAATATACATAAGTAGTAGGTTTTGTATGTGTGTGTAGGTGCGTGTGTGTGTATGTGTGTGTGTGGTGTGCACGTTCATAACATACTTTATTTCCAATGGACCAGGTAAGTAAGGCAGAGATTCTCCAACTAAAAATAGGAAAAATCTCATAGGCTATATATATATGTATATAATAGATATGTCTATACATCTTTTAAAAAATCAAAAAGGAATTTGTAAAATCCAACTATCTATCTATAATCTGATCGATATGATAAGGAACAAATACAAAAATAAATTTCTCCCTATCCCGTATGTCTACATGTTTGTATATGTGTGTTTATTAGTAATCCTAGTTTAGTTAGAAAAAAAATACAAAAATAAAAACTTTATTCATATTTGATTGGTTGATTATAATATTGGGGCTATATAATCTATATACTTTATTGGGACATACATATATATTGTATTTTCTTATATCTGAAAAATTGTTGTCTATACCTTATTGAGATTTGAAATGTCTGGCCAAAATAAATTTATTCCGTGTATCATTGATTTAGTTGCTATCCTAATTTTGGCCTGAAAATAAGGATTATAATAGTAGTAGTAGTAGTAATATTGGTCCTTTTATTTGTAATATGGTTCTGGCAATTTTTAATATAGGATTGATTTAAATTTGTCTCTAGAATATTCTTTATTTGTTATTCGATCAGATGTTTATTTAACTGTGAACATTTGATAAGCAATGGTACGTATACATGACTCACATTAACTCGGCGCCCGAATATTATGAAACCATTCGTTCAAATTTAGACGAAAGTTCTTAATTAATGGTACATATTAGTATCTATAATACATAAAAACACTACATTAATAATTCATTACATGGTACAAGATCCAGTAGTCGTACGTGATTAGTATGAATGGAATCTTTGATCAGCCCCCAAATGCCGTGGTTTGGCCGAGAGTGGGGAGAGTCAACTCTCCCTCTTGAAATGCTCTCACATGGCCACGTGCATACAGCCACTGCCATGGAAGTCCTACTCACTGTCTTCTCGTGGTGGGGGTGTTGTTTACGAAATTGAGAGGATGAATAGCGAATATCGAGCACTTTAACAGGGTTGGTGGATATGGAGGATCCACCTAGGGATGTTGGAAAACCCTGATTCGAAACCAATGATGCACATGAGCTCCAGTATGTTGAGGGAACAAATGGAATATGAACCAATATTTGGTCACCGGCTACCGTGAGACTGCATCTCCTTACGACGATCCACTATATTGTGGATCAAACCTTTAGGTCGAAGGCGTTGGATGTGGCCCTCTGAGAAAATCATCTACGTCGTATTGGGCACTTGTGCAGTATCACAGCCCTCACACATATCAAATGATATTTATGTGGCGTATATGTATCTGGTGTCCCCCTGTACCAATATCTGTGTTCAAATAAAACAAATGAATCATTGATCATCGACCAACTAATGACATGATAAACGGTAGAATAAAATATATTATCAATCGAGCATCTAATTGTAAAGTTCGCAACCGGTACTTCAAATGTAGAAGGGTAGGTTCTTATGGAAACAAGCTATTCAATGAAGTGAAAATGATGATATGGTGAAATGATTATAGCGATTGACAGGAATCATGATTGAAATGGTTATCTCTCAGTTGATCCAACTTTCTTTTGAAAGAGTCGACAGATGGAGCTTTAATCCCGTGTTGAGGTAATAAATTCCACTCGTTGACGATTCGATGGGAAAGTCAATAGTTAGCTGATGAGTAATTTGTCCTGGGCTTGTGTACATTTTTGGCGTGTCCTCGTAAATTCTCTGTATTGGAAGATAAGAGAAATGAGGGCATTGTATATGGAAATTCATCGTTAAGTAATTTGAAAACTGTAATCAAGTCACCTCTAGTTCTTCGATATGACAATGGGACTAGGTTTAGTTTAGCCAGTCGAGCATCGTACAGGAGCTTTACTATTCTGGTAATCAGCTTAATTGCTGTTTAATTTGAGAACTACAAAAACTATGATTTCAACAGAATAAAATGATGTCACTCTATTTCCTTTGATGCATGTACACAACCTGAATGGTTTTAAAATCGAAATCATGAAGTTTAAAATTCCCACATAAATGAGCCTGTGAATACATATATATGACCGTAAATGGTCAGTCTGCTTTGGGCATACGTGCATCATGTGCGAATTACCTCGATATTACCATTAACTCATAAGTGTTTTAAACAGAGATGGACGATGACTAATAGTGGAATTTACGACGGGCGTTTCATCCCATTTAGGACTCGTCTGTTGGATGAACCTGCTTCCCACAGTTGAAAACCACCCTATTGCACAAGCCAATGGCTATCTGGACTCAGTGGTTAAGTGAATAACTCTATGGGATTCGAAGTGAACGGTACTAGTTCACAGTCCCAGAGTAAACATCAACTCTAGAAACGCATGTACTAAATTCCATTGTCAGCCACCATCCATCTCTGCTTACGATATTCAATATTGTACTTATGAGGAGTAGCAACTTGGACCGATGCATATATGCGCCTGGTCCTACGTTCTAGCTGATTGACTGAAAATATTCAACAAAATATAACAATCATATATCATTGCAAAAAATAGAGTTCTGGAATTTCGATAAAGATGGTGGCAAAAATCGATGGGGGTGAAATGGAGGAGTTACGCAATGAAATGTTTGACAATTAAGAATGGGATGAATGATGCTAATCTGGTCAAAAACACACTAATAACCTTGAATAAGGTTGGATAAATGATGAAAGTAAACAAGGCTTGTACTACTATAGTAGTAAAAGGGTAAAGACTATTTCTCGTTGAGTATATAAATTGGGTTTCAGGTACTTGATAGTTATAGCTTCAGTAAATTTTAGGTTCGAGTTTCGTCGTTTATCAATCACCTTGAAAAATTTCCTAGTGTCCGTATGATTGCCTGTGAGAAAAGGATGTTTAAAAATATCTCTTATTAAATACATTTATTCATCCTGAATAAATAGAAAGAATAAGCCTTTCTTTCTTTTGAGTTTGTTAGGTACATGTAAATTTCTACACACAGATGATAAGATAAAACAAGAATTTTTCGAAACAAGATTAAATTATTGAACTTATTGTTTCGTGAGAAGCTGTCATTTTGGTGAAGTGTATAAAGATGTTTTCTATATTTCTGTGAAGTTTTTCTATTAAAGCTAAATAATTTAAGGATATAACTTCTACACAAATTGGTTCACATGAATTATGATACAGATAAGCGTACTTTGAATCAAATGACAGTGAATACCCTACACTGACGAGTCCCAAATAGGACGAAACGCGCGTCACACTGGATTCCACTGCTAACCACTATCTATTTTTGCTTAAAAAACTTGTAACCTAAAGCTATATTGAGGCAATCCACACAGGATTCACATATGCTAACATGAGACTGATCAAGTGCAGTCCTAAATAACAATGTGAAGATACAAGTAAAATAACACCAAGTGAATTTATGCAACGTTTAGTCTAACATTACGATATAATAACTTGGATGAATGAACACTTTTATTTTGACTAGATAATAGTGAACCCAAGGTTGGTTATCTGAACTCAGTAATGTAATGAGTGACATGGTGGTGATTTTAGATATGATTTTTGATTTACATACATCATGGAGAAACCAACAGTTACTGAAATTGCCTGAAATACTGTTGGCGACTAACAAAATAAGATGAGACTCACTTTTCAAATTACACTACTAATCGTTACTGCATACCATCAATGAAAACTGTCTTATTATATTTCTTTATCAAATATTGATAACAATCATGAATATTTTCCAGGAGGTGACAAATTAAAACAGATGTTAACTGTTATTTGTACAACTGAATCATGGACAACTAAGAACAAGGATAAATAAATAGCAGTCCAATGTTCTACACACATACAAAAAGTAAATCAACAAGATAAGAATCAGATGTATGTGAAATGGCTCTAAACTGTAGTCCAATTGTTTTGGGATTGTAGCTAACAGTAAAATCTAGGAGGCGCGTTCCATTTTATTTAAGACCCATCAGATAGATATACCCTCATCCCAGTGTTGATGAACACTTCGGGACTGAAAATCAATGCCAACTGCTTTAATTGCCGACGTGTCATTTACTAAGCTACTTAGTCTAGATAATCACTAACTTGCGCACCACTAAATATCATGCTCGTCGAACAAATTTATGTTCGTAGTTTTGTGAGATAGGTCGAATACTTATAAGACGCCTCACTACAATACTGTATTACAACACGTGTTCAGCAATCGTTGTTAGATAGCTTATATCAGAGAAAATAAAATTAAAGACATCGTGAATATACGGGATATTATGATAGATATGATCAATTACTATGAAGCGTAGTCAATTTTTGGAAAGTGATCATTTATACTACTCAAAGTAGTATATCGACGCTAGGAAAATTGCGCATCTAGATTCTACCACATAATCTGTCTTATCGGTTTCCGGACTTCATTTAATTGCTGCCTCACCCGCTCTCTATGTTTTTGAACTCCAAATGATCACACACCTATTCTTATATATATATAGTTGTAATTAGCTGATGAGAAACCACGAAATATAATGGATCTATATTATTAAACA